ACCATCTGATATTTTAGTTCCAGGCTTTAGAATTTGTTTTATCGTCTCTAAATTCTATACATATATATATACATACATACATTTGTAAATTAGTAATTTTAAATTTATTCTTGTTTGAATGAAAGTTTAATTATTATTTGCAGCACTAAAAAACAAAATCTGAATAATTTGCAAAAAAAAACAACGTTTAAACTTTTACTGACTTGAAAAATCCCTGGAAGAAAAGAATAAGTGAATAATTTAAAATTAGTAGAATTAAAAGTTTTCCGGAAAAGGTTGAAGTTTGAGAATTTTCGATGAATATTATTTATGAATTTCTTATCAGAAGTGCTGTAAATGTTTAATTTGGCCGGTTTTTGACAACTTAAAAGTTAACTTAATGATTTTGAAAAAGTAAAAAATGAATTAAAACTTAATAAGTTACTATTGTATTCCAATTTCTGGTTTTGATCTGAAAGATATGCATATTACTCATTCAATTAATATGTGTCATGACCAAACTGCGGCAAAATATTCATTTCTTTTGGCACAGTAAGGCAACATTTAAAAAATGTTCGTTCTAGACCTAAATGCAGCACATCACAACTCGGGAATACTTCAGGAAATACACGAAAAGGTGCGCAAGTATCAGAAATTACAGGACGTGTTCAGTGCTACCATCACAGCAGATGCCAATTTATAATCTCTTTTTGACATTGATTTTTTGATTTGTTTCGTTTTCATTCTCTTTACTATCCCATATATCATAACAACAATTATTATTAACAGAACTGGTTATTTTTTAAATTAATTCTTATCAAAAATCAGACTGTTTATCCGATCCTTCATGATCACCCGATATTATAAGAGTTTTCCAGAAAAGAGAATTCATTACCGTCCTTATGTCGGATGTATTTTGCGCACGAACAATACCAAGGAATAAACAGAACAAAAGAAAACGCACGGCGAACCATTTATTTACGAATCCAGAGAACCCAATTGTGGGCTAATATTCAACTATGGAACATCATTCAAGTCTCACAAGAGAAAACATCAACCTATTATTCAATCCGAAAAGTGTAACAAATCGTTGAGCCGCAATTTTTTCGACTTGAAAAGACACATGAAAGGATGCCTCGGAACTTCTTGTTAGTTTCACAAATTTAGCAAAATTTCAAGCACGTTTTTCTATCTGCAATAGTAGAATGCACATGAAAATGAGTTGCGAAACATCCACGACCATGGAGCAGGAATGCAAAATTCAACAGATATTACGATACAAAATGTATTTGTCTTAAGTTTATTTCATTTCGTTCATACGGATTCTTGTGAATCTTACTGTTCGAAGTGTTAATTACTACTTTCAGTATCTTCAAGTCTTTTTATACCAGTTTTTCAACTTCTTTTCGAATGTATGTCGAGTTCGATATGTTGTTTTCTGTTGACTGTATGTTTTTGATTATATGCTAACAATAGATCGTGTTGAACTTGATTGGCTAATCAATTTTCCATCAACAAATATCAAATCAGTAATAATTAATTCAAGTGCGTTCAGCATTGTTTTCACTGTTACTTCTGTATGAATTCCTTTCACTTATTAATAGACGTTGGCATTATGGCTTTTTTTACAAAGTGCATTCAGGTAGAATGCAATGCTCTAGTAATCATTTTTGATAATCACTCACTCTGCTTTTTGTGTATAATTGAAATATGCAAATGAAACAACAAAATCAGTCCGGAAATGCGAGAAAATCCACGAGAAGGGAATTTAAATGGCGTAAAAATAGTCCGATGATAAAAAAAATTATGATCTAAATCTGCTTTATGGCGGATAATTTTTTTCACCATTTTCTGATTATTAATTCTAAAATCAAAAAGTTATGGTTACGAATTTTGAGAAAATGTGGTCAAGTCCTACTTATTCAAAAATGTCAACTTCTGAATCTAAAAATCAAGTCCTTCACTATTACTCTCATTTTACTCAAGAAATTGAAGCAAATGGCCAAAACTGACGTGAGCATAGTGATCCTTTCGCAAATGTTGCTTTATCGGGGTTTAATAAACAAGAGAAAGCTTTATGACTGATGGTCTAAAGGTTGTCTATTGGGAGACAATGCAAAAATACAACTGTCGCGCAATCGTCCATGTTGAAAAAATTGAAACAAATAAATCAGTCAGATGATAAAAAGTAACACTTGACTTCACCTAATCCATCATGATGTGAATGTATGTGGAAACAATACCATTATCTATATATCCAACTGTATCAACCAAAAATCAATAATTATACAGGAATGTTCGAAAGTATATTGCATTGCTCGCATTTCTTTTTTCTTGATAATTGTCTATGAAGGAATCAAATGGCCTATTAGTGATCCCTGTATCGATACAGCTGCATGGATGATGGTAATGGAGAAAGTTATTGAAGGATCTGAATTTTAGTAAAAGGGTTTCCACTGTTTTGATTTATAAAAGCTGTTAAACTACAATGAAGATGATATCAGTGTTCTATTGAAACTTCGTTGTTTTACACGTATAAAACTTCAAAATATTTTAAACTCTTTTTCAATTAAATTTTAACTCATTTCCATTTTTACAATGGTAAATTGTTCCATGATTGAAAATCTCTAATTTTCAAAATAAAAATCTCTAATGAAGCTGAAATTTATACAAAAATTGATTAACTGAAAGAAAAATGAAAATATTCTGAGCTGATTTTCAGCATGAATAATTGGTAATAATTATATAATCTTTGTTACTAATCGTGTTAATGCGCGTTTTTATCCTTTACCTATTGTCGCGAATTCCGATTCGCGAGACTCCAACCACATCTCAAACAAACGAATTATCAAATTAATTTTCTTATTGTAAATGAATGTTCCAAATGTTGTGAATCATTTAGCAGAATTTACAGCCTCAGATTTATTTCCCGTTTCAATTCCCATGTTTTTCCTTTATGTCTAAGCACATGTCTTTGTTTAGAAATGCCTTTGTTAGCAATTGCTTAAAATATCTAAATTCACATCTTAAACATCTCCTTTGTTCTTGTTCCCCACAAAAGAATTCACATATCTTCTCGTTTCGATCTCCTAAGATGCTTATACTGTAATTGAACGTTACAGTTTTCAGTGTAATGATAGCAAAACCACTCCCACTTTTTCCATATATAAGCGGTATTGAGTACACCAAGGGGTACTTCTTGGACAATCAGTTTTTCATTATTCTCGATCAGTTTTAGATTATTCTTCTTTTCGTTATTATCATCAGATTGTGTCGTTTTTGTGACCTTACCCTTGACAAGTAAAGAATCAACTTTTGCCTTTGTCCACAACGTACGACACACGCACATCATCCACATCAAATTTGGTACAGCTAATACTTCAAGTGACCTTAATTCTTCTCTACAACCAACGTGTGAAAAATCCCCTGCTTGTTTCCAACTATTGACTGACCGCAAATTACTTTAACAAAAATCCACGACAACTATTGCATGCTCCTTTGCTAACCCCATACTTATTGCATGCATTCTTGTTAACCTTACTTATTGAATGGACTTTTGTAGACTTTTCTCGTCGCATGCATTTTTTCTTATATTTTACAGTAACAAACGAAAAGTTCTTTATAAAGTTTGTTGGAAATTTGCAAAAGAAACGTGAGATGGCTTTGCCACAGTTGCTGATGTACGTAAAGTAAGTTCGAAAGCTTATTTTGCCTTTCTTCTTTGTCTTTGGAAATTTAGAAGTGTACCTCATTTTTAAAGAAGAAATCACTCCCAAATAAATCGTAAGCACAGTCATTCATCGAGCTAATTAGTAATAAACTCAATTGTTTTATGCAGATGGTGGCCATTGCTGTTTGGAATATTATAGAGTACCCTGAGGTTTAGGAGAAAAACGCAATACCATGTGGTATCGGCGTGTAATTTATATCAGCGCTAACATCTCCCATCCAAACAGTGATAATATGCGCATATTTCACTACTTGGCAAAATACCTCACCAGGAATGCAGCAAAGTAATATTGGTGCTTCAAGAAATAGTACCTTTTATAGTTTAAAAAAACTAGAAATTTGTTAAAATTTAGATAAGATTGAAAGAAATGATATGCATGAAAGAAGCCAAACAAACATGGAAAATGCGCTGAAAGATCTCCTTCAACAATTCCAATGTTTGTTACGATTGCGATAAAAATCCCATGCAAACAATCCTCCGTTTTGATCATCAATGTAAGGATCTCTTCCTAACAGGAAAGTCAAGAATTGTTTCGTACAATCCGGATAAGGCTATCACATATTTCGCTCCAACAAAGTCTCCTTACAACCAGACAGAAATCACCGACACCAACTAATCGAAAAGAAAAATTGGCAAGCAATAAAATCGGAAAACGATCTTTTCTCATAATGCAAAAATTGGCATATAATTTTAGGATGAGGATGTCTATTTAGATGAACTGAATGAGAATATGCAAATTTATCTCACGGTAGACGTTTCACTATCATGCATCTATATCTCATACAATATTCATTTATCCTTGACCTGCTGATGAAATTGAAACTTTTATTTTCCACTCACTGATTAAATTGTATTTGAAATGCCGAAAGCTTTTTTCAAATAAGATTTTGCCGGCATGTTTTTGACATATATTTGCGTCAACTTAAGTAACACACAAATTCAATTCTCTCTGTAAAGTAATTTTGTTGTTTACATGGAATAATTACTATCCTGGTACATTGCATCCCTTAATAAATCATATTGAAGTGATAACAAAAAATGCGTATCACATATTGCTGAACTGAAATTGCTCGAATCAAGTAGCTAATTACCAAAGCAATGAATGATTACTTGGATCCCTTTCTCGATTCTTCCAAAAATTACAAAGTAAATTGAAATGAATGCGGACGAAATGGAATCAATGGTAATCAGTGTCACCCATTAATATTCAGACTAATTTTAATCCTGAAGTGTCTACCACTCCAGACCAGTAAAGAAGATAGCGAGAAGACAAAATCGTGAGAAAGCTCGCGTTCAAGATGGCATCGTCAGCCCGACGCATCCGCCAATGACAAAGCATCTCTTCCGATTACAGAAGCATTATTCCATAATGCTCCTTCAAAGAGTACCGTTTCATTGATTATCATTGTTTCATCCTTCAACGCAGCGATTCAAATTCTCACAAATTCGTGGAATCTTGTACTCCGACCTCCCATTGCTCTCAGTGAGAATATAAAATCGTAATGGAGATATGAAGAATGGAAATTGTGTGGTTACCACCGTTGTGGTCCGTTTTCGGAGGCTTATACTTTAATAGAAAAGATTCTGATCATTAATGAAATTATGTATTTTGATGAGTGTTTGATTAGTTGATTTGCTACCAAACATGCCACATATAATAATCAAAATTTTATTCAAAACGATGATAAATATGCATTCCAAATTTTCACCTTTTTTGCAACGCTCCACGACAAGATAATTAGAATTATGCATCTGCAAAGTCGCCTGCGAACATTTTATGAACGAATATTACCAGTTACACAGATAATGATCTGTCATTGATAATGAACCTTCCTGTTAACAGCAGTATATTAGTAAACAGTATTAACTTATCTTCAATTTTTCCCTCTAATAGTTGTAACTACGTGTTTGATCAAGCTTTATAAGATTCTATGTTGTAATCGACAGAATAAGTGAATTATGAATATCAGAATTATGGAAGCGGAAATTTCTCGGGAACAATTAGATCGAGAAAGGTTGGTTTCTGATTTTTTAAATTAGCCGAGGAGGGCTGGTTTCTGCAACTTCGAAAGCATTTGCATACTTATTAAATTCTGATAAAGTTGTTTCGTGCAAAATAATACAGCGATATTGTTGTATCGTTTGTTGACATGTAAGCGAATATGCTGAAAAGTAGCGATAGAACCCGTCTGTTTCTTTCATCTCTTCTTTTATAATGGACCATTTTATCACTTATCATTGATCGCCCCAAACCATCCCGCAGATAATCACCGTTGCCATTGACAGAGTGATGGAACTAAATGATAAGGAAACCTTGTTTTATGCAAGGAATTTAATGCAGTTAACCCAGAAAGACTGAACACCATGAAGAAGTTTCGACACTTTTTGATTCGGTGTACAATCAATCTTTATATTCCAAAACATAGCTGATCGACTAGATCTAACGGAAAACAAAAAACGATGTGGAAATATATCCTTCGGTATTATGAAACCTAAATTATGTCTCCTAGCCAAAACACAAATCGAGGTAAGATTTGAAAGCATGAAGACAGACAATAACTTTCGAGACCAACATAATGAGCTACTTAACGAGTAAACTTCAAGCAGTCGCAATATCATCGATGACAAATGAAGACTAATTAAATAGTCCAAAGAGCTATTGGAAACAACCTGATATACTTATAGAACCTAATCATTTTTTCAACAGCAGAACAATTTAAAGAAAATACTATTAAGCACAATGGAAGATAGTAAATATATTGGCTATGGAAGCAATCAAGAATCAAGCTGAGCAATAATTATGGATTGTATTTTGGCCATCTACCTAAATAGAAAAACCTAATAGAAACGACTTCAACAATATGAAAGAACAATCTAAGACCAGTTGCGCTCCGACTTATGTTAACCCTACATGGATCAGGTTGATGTCATACACTACTTGTCTCATCATGATGTCCTAACACCTAGTAAAGCTACAACCAAACTAAGAATTGTGTTTGTTGGTTTAGCGCACTTAAAAGGAACTGAGAGTTTCAGTGATGTATTACATCGCGAACCGACCACACTTTCAGATTTTGTGGAAATATTGCTACTTTTTTAATGATGAAAAGGGCAGTAACAATTATTGAGGTGTTTTTACAAATAGAACTACATCCTTCAGATAGAAATTGTATTACATTCCTTTGGCTAAAGGAGATAAAAAGAGATGTGATCGAAGAAAACATAAAATGTTATCGCTTGAAAAGGGTTCTTTTTGGAACATTATCATCTTCCTCCTTACTACCGACTACTCTTAATTGTCATTTGAAAAATCAAGGTAGTAAAATAGCCCTAGAAATAAGAAGAAATCTTTATGCCGGCAAAGTTATAATGTCAAGTGATAGAAGAAGAGAATTTCTTCCTAATAATGACTTCCATGCAAAAATATCTGGACAGGATTGATTAGAATTAAGTCGAGGAAAAATTATGGTACCACATGGGATCCCAATCAAGAATTTTATCCAAATAATTTCGAAACCATGGATTGGAAAAAAATTAACTGAATGGGCAATCTCATAATTTGTTGCCTCACAATACAACCCGGTTGGTTTCTTAGTCCCTACAATAATAAGATTCAAATCATTCCTTCGAACTTATGAAATAACTCATAGGGTGAAATTATAGACGAGGATAGTCGACAACAGTAGGAATCTCTTATCAGTGAATGACCAGCAACAGTAAGGCATTTGTCGCCATTTGTTACAAATTTTTCAAATTTAATCGGAATTCATGTTTTTATTGACGCATCAGCTTAGCATATTCAATAGCAGCATATATGCCAAGTCAAGAAATGCATGGAAAGGAATCATTCTTGGTCTTTGCCAAATTGCACACCGCTCCTGTCAAAGGGATTACTATGACTAGAGTCACTTGCGATAATTATCGGAGTACGAGCGGTACAATTCGTAATGACATAGTTGGATCTAGAAGATATAAAGGTAACTTTATGGTCAGGTTCCAAATGTACATCACAGTGGAAGAGAAAATATTCTGAATTGTTACCATGATTCATTCAAAACCGAATTGAGGAAATACGCAAAGCGAAATTCATATTTCGTTATATCCCATCAAAACATAATGCAATAGATGTGGCTACAAGAGGACTTCCTCCCCAAAAACTTAAATACATCAGACCATAGTGGAATGGACCGTCATGATTGAGAGAAAAAGAAATCAACGGCTACAGTGAGAACATAATTTCGATAACAAGGGCAAATTGGAAGCACACTGCAAAGATTACACAAACTTACGAAAAGAGTAATTTCCAATTTATACAAAGTAGTTGTTTCAGCAAATGATCAAGATTATTAAGAACAACCGTTTTGATTCTTAAATTCACAAGATTAATAACTAGAGAAAAATTATCATGGTCACAGTCATTCTTGATAGGTGTCGGGTTAGCGAAATTAAAGCTATGTTCAAATAAAATTTCTACAATATCTAACAGACAGTGTGATGAAATTTTGTAAATTAAAGCAGGGAGGAGGATATAAGCTAACAATGGACAGCATAACACAAAGACATCTCAGTATCTACGCCATGGACAACGATATCCATTGTACCTACACAATGGACAATGCTGAGAGGCAGCTTACCTCCATGATAACCTTGATGGAGCTTATAAAACTCCGAAACAACTCAGTTTTTCACAATTAAGCAAACAATATATCCTCTTTGCATATCCTCTACCACTGGACAACAATATTTTTGTTAGATGAATATATTCCCTTAGCATATACCCAACTCAACGACCTATCAACTAGCCGGTAATTAAATTATTATCGAAAACAACGACAAGCAGATTGCTAATTGGTCATATCACTTGTTCATTGTATATAACTCACTTATCATTTCTTACTAATTTACCTTGCACTTTATATAATTTTCTATTTGTTTTTTTTTTTTTTTATTGTCAATTAGTAATACTGTGCAAGAACAATACAACATCCCGAATAAATCTATCGCTAAAATAGTCGGCAAATTAGCTTTCCCGACAACAAAGAAAAAACTTTCAGTTAATGATTACAAATTGACAGAATGGTTATTAACCAGACAAGCGCAATCAGAAGAGATAATTGAGGAAGAAATAAATAAATGGAATTTATGTTTTTAACGAGGATGAAACCGATTCGAGAATTCGAAATTGAGCGAAAGCAACAAGCACTCTATCTTCCACGACACAATCCAGTAATAGAACTCATACTAAAACAACACAAAGACTTATACCATGCTGGAACCAGTCATACCGTGAAAGAGTTTTCACATTTCAGCTGTGAAAAAGAATCCTTTCACAGCTGAAATGCACATTCTGGCTGCCCAAAGGAAAACCCGAAGCCAAACTGATGTGTGTTTGTGATATGAATTGCAATGATTGCCAACCAAGTTGAAAATTGATTCAATTATGTCTATTTATTGTCTTCCATATTTTAACATTTCAAATCAAAGAGAGATTAATTATTCCTGCGAAAACTCTACAAACTTCTTTATCAAAAAACGGTGGACAAGAAATATCCACCAAACAGATCCCCTTCACTGCAGTCTCAAATTCTTCCTCCAGAAATAATTACTCTTGATCGGGAATGTTGAAACTATAGGATAATGATGTTTTACTTGGAATATTTTACCAATAAGTGGATTCATAACACACAAAAAAATAAAATAAATGTTTTTTCACACTCTTAAGTAATGAATCATTCATCCAATTCTAACAATGGTAAAGGATATCCGATCCGATAATCATGCTTATATTCAATGGTTAACATTTCATTAATCAACTCACTCCTTGCTTGGAAATCAATCTTGTAAGTTCCGTAAACCACACCTACTATAGAAAGCCTTTCCATTGTCTCTCTAGAACTTTAGTTTCATTCAGGTGTTCTACAAGTCTCCCTATCTTAAGTTTCAAATACTTAACATGTAGAGTTTCCTCCTTACACCAACAAGAAATCCCAACCATAATTTCATTTTCTATATTCACTAGTAATCTAAGGATATGAAATTTATCGCCATCATCAATAAATTTTTATAAACTCTTTGTGTACCGATGTCAAGCAATGACAAGCTTCACCGTTAATCTCTTCAAATACAAAGACAAAAATTTTTACAACAGATATTGTATTTCATTGAGATTTTTGTTATTATTCTTAGTTAGATAAATTACACAACCGAATTAAGTTTACTATTAAAAGTAAACTTCAATTATTTTCAACAATTCTCATAACTCGACGATACGGTATGTGGAATTTTTATATTTTTTTCACGCGATGAAAAATATTTGTGTCATATGCTATTGTTTTCTTCCCTTCAGCATTATGGCAAGAGATATGGTGAAAACATTCATTAATAAAATTTTCAGCAAATAGGATGGTACTATCTTCTGTATTTTTCCTGCGATTTTGTGTTCTTTTTTTTTTTTTTGCAGCTTTCTGGCTATTCCAATGTTTTTTCCAGCTCATTGGTTATTTTTAGTGCTTTTTCCAGCTTCCAGGTTATTTCCCATGTTTTTTTTCAGCCTTCTGGCCAATTTTTGTTTGTCCAGCTTTCTGATGGCAATGTTTACCATTCATCAAAGAATAGTTCCTTTGATGAGACGTTTCATGAAAGGCCCTTTTATAGTTTTGTAGACAATCGTTATGGCTATAATTCCCATACTTCGATATTTTGACGATTAACTTGCAAGGTTAATCAGCAAAATAGTGATACATTTGTTTTGCGTTTTTCGTTTCGAATTTTTCTGTTTTTGCTCACATATTTTTGCCTTTGTTGGAATTCCTTTTCAATCCATTTATGTATTTTCAGCTTGTCAGTCTTGCATGCAATCTCTGAAAATACCTTGCACTTTGTAAAATCAGCCTCCCTTATTTCTTTTACAGTTAGTTGTTTATTTTGCTTTCAGCATGATTCGTAGAATTCTATATTTATCTCAACGACTAGCATATAAAAGTGAATCAAATTGAGCATTTGGCATGATTATATCAACGATCATTTGAAGATATTGCAGAGATTTTAGCTCCAAGTTTACCTTTACCTTTCTTTAATGAGTTTTTTCCTTGGTCTTTCATATAGACCCACAGCTATTCGTATTAATTCTTCCAATACAGTAATCCCTTATTGCGCTATTATATCCTCTTAAGTGTTAATGCAAAGAGAATTCATTCATTCTTATCCCTTACTCATACAGATTTACTATGCCAATAATAAAAGTAAATGTCAGTTAATCATAGCAATAAATGTTGAAATACAGAATTGGACAAAAGCTCTTACAAAGTGACATGAATTGGACTATGCTAATATCTTTCATTATACTCAGCAATGCAATTACTGTTATAAATGGTAAGTTATTCAATAAAGTGACACATCAGTAACG